CAAAGCACCAGTGATTGTGGTGGGTTGCAAGCTTGATCTACGGGATGAACGCCTTCCTGTGAGACTTGAGGATATAATGGCACCAATCATGAAGGAGTACAGAGAGATAGAAACATGTATAGAATGTTCTGCGTTGACCCTTATTCAGGTTTGTGTTCTGGTTTTTTAGTAGGCTATTCTCCCAACACAGTTTAAAGCTTAGGACCTTATCTTTTGGCAAAGAGGGAAAATACCACAAAAGCTGCAAGGCACCTTTAAACAGATAATACTGAATGACCAAGCAAAATTGTGTCTGCCATTGAGTTCTTTATGTGATTGTTATTCGTATGCCACTAAAACATGAGGATTACTCTCTCTCTCTTTTTTCAGGCCCCTGATGTTTTCTATTATGCTTCAAAAGCGGTCCTTCATCCAACATTTCCGTTGTTTGATCAAGAAAAACAATCTTTGAAACCTCGCCTCCGTAGGGCAGTACAAAGAATATTCAACCTGTGTGATCACGATTTGGATGGTGCCCTAAATGATGCGGAATTGAATGATTTTCAGGTTATGTTTCTCTGTTAACCACTGATTATTGCATTCATGAAAGTTCCTCATACTTCTATAAATAAAATGCTGCAAATTTGGTTAACAGATCAATTGTTTTGGTGCCCCACTTGACCCTGTTGAACTTATTGGAGTTAAGAGAGTGGTACAAGAAAGGCAACCAGATGGAGTAACTGATCTTGGCCTTACACTTCCGGGTTTCCTTTTTCTTTTTTCTCTATTCATTGAGAGAGGTCGCCCTGAGACGGCATGGGCTATCCTACGCAAATTTGGTTACAATGATTGCTTAGAACTCAACAGCGAGTCCCTACCGGTTCCAGCAAAGCATTCCCCTGATCAGGTGTGCATTAAACAACGAGAATATCTCTAAATTGTTCTGTTACTTAAAGGATCTGATAGAGTGGCTGAACCCTATTTGACTTGCAGAGCATCGAGCTAACAAATGAAGCTATGGACTTTCTGAGTGGAATCTTTCAGTTATATGACCTTGATAATGTGTGTATGATCGATTCTCTAATTATGCAACCTTCTGTACTACCTAAAAGCTTATGTGATCCTCAAGAATTATTGCTAGTTCTTTAATGCTTCTTTGTTTTGCTGCTATTCAGGATGGAGCCTTACGGCCAGCTGAGCTAGATGATTTGTTCCAAACAGCTCCAGATAGGTAATTTGCTGTGCTTTTTCGTGATTCGTTGCTAATTATCACCTCTGTAATCGATGGTTATCAACTGTTCTCCCAATGTTTGTTTAGTGAGTTAACCTTCGTTTTATTGACTTTGCCTGCCAATGTCTTTAGTGCTCTTGTACATGAATATGTATATTGTTTCCAGACTAAGCTTGTTTACCTATACAATATCCTTTTACGATTTCAGTCCTTGGCTTGAGGCTCCTTATAAAGATGCTGCAGAGAAAACATCAGTCGGAAATTTGACAATCAATGGATTTCTGTCCGAGGTCTGTATGCTTACTTGTTAACACTGAATCGAAACAAGCTTTCATTGTCATTATGATCTAACAATCAGATTCAACATTCTTTATCCTGGCTAATTATACTCTGTTATATGTGTTAATTCAGTGGGCTCTAATGACTCTACTAGATCCTCGAAAAAGTTTGGCAAACCTGATATATATCGGTTATGGTCACGACCCAGCTTCAACATTTTCTTTTACTAGGAAAAGATCAGTGGATCGTAAGAAGCAACGTACAGAAAGAAATGTGTTTCAGTGCTTTGTATTTGGCCCTAAAAAATCTGGAAAGTCTGCAATTCTCGATTCTTTCTTAGGAAGGTAAACTAGTTCTAACATTGCTTAGTTTTTTTGCTAAGGATTTACTCATGTTAAATTCTCTAATCTGTGTTTCAACCCCAGGAAATTTTCGGACAGCTATAAAGCAACAATGGGTGAACGTTATGCAGCAAATGTCATTGATCAGCCTGGGGTAAGTAGCAATAGTCTGAGTTCTTATGTTCATTGTTACATGTGGATGTTTTTTCTTCTAATTCTGGAAACATTTCTCAGGGTACAAAGAAAACGCTAGTATTGCGAGAAATACCAGAAGACAGAGTTAAAAAGTTTCTGACAAATAAGGAATCGTTGGCAGCCTGTGATGTAGCTGTGGTTGTCTATGACAGGTTAGTTCAGAAATTATTTGCACTTGTTGTGTATGGGTGACATGATCAAGGACTTAGCAAGAGAGAGAGAATCACATAACTGATATAATTTTCTTTTGTTAATTCCAGTTCAGATGTATACTCATGGAAAAAAGCGAGGGAAATACTGATGGAGGTAGCGAGGAGAGGAGAAGAGAGCGGTTACGGGACCCCTTGTCTTCTTGTTGCGGCGAAAGATGATTTGGATCCATATCCAATGTCAGTGCAAGAGTCTGATAGGGTAATACATCGCTTAAACCCCAAAATATGAATACTATATGGTCTCTGGGTATGATTAATAACTCGGATGAGATGATCTCAACAGGTTTGCATGGAATTGGGAATAGACGTCCCAGTGTCACTAAGCATGAAACTCGGGGATCCAAATAGTCTCTTTTCAAGAATCGTGAGTACTGCAGAGAACCCTCACTTGAGCATTCCAGAGACAGAGTCAGGAAGAAGAAGCAAGAATATCCGTCAATTCGTGAATAACTCGCTTGTTTTTGTCTCAGGTTCTTTCTTCTTCACCGAGAAAATCTTGTATTTGCCGTAATTTAGTGAATTCATTTAAACATCTAAAGCTTATTGCAGTGGGTACAGCTCTTGGTTTTGCTGGATTGGCGGCTTACCGTGCTTATTCCGCAAGGAAGAACACTTGAAGATTTGCGGTTCCTCTGGCTTTGTATATAATAAAATCGGAGATGGCTTCAAGTCTCCGTTTCCTTGACACCATAATTTTGAAGTTATTAGATACAAAATCTATTCTACTTCGAACCTTTGGGCATTCTTCGTCAAAGACATTTATATGACATGCTTTTGATCCCCTTTTTGTCTTTCTCATAACCAGTGTGAATCTTTCCTTCTTCCTCTGTACTAAAATAATGCACAATTTTCGGGGAAGAACCGTGTATCTTTTAAACTTTTAACACAAAAAAAACATTTATTATTAAGACCAAAAAACATGTGATCATGTGCTATTATTCCCTTCCCCAAAATGGGCCCATGTGGTTCTTTTTTGGCCCAATATTGAAAATGATTATCAAAAAAGAAGATTTTAATCACAAACGAAACGCGAAATGAAGTGGACCGACCGTTGGATTGTTATCTTGTAAAATAATAGCCTTACAAATTCCTCTTGTGGATCAAACCATATTAAAAAACCAGACAAAGATCAGAGTAGTGAAGAAATCTATTTTGTGGAAAACAAAAAAAAATGGCGGCTTTATCATCATCCTCTCTGTTTTTCTCTTCCAAAACAACTTCTCCGATCAATAATCTCCTGATCCCACCATCTCTCCACCG